AAGCTTTATGTCAGTCCTGGATAACCATTTTCTCAATGTTAGCGCGTCGTAAAAGCTGTAACCGAGATCTTTTTAACGAAAGTTTGCTTGTAAAGTTTAATACAAAGTGGAACGACATTGCACAAACGTTACTTGATAAGTTTTACTTTAGTTTTCAAACTGCAACGTGGAAAGATTTGTGGGTCTGATAGCAACGACAAACCAACGACATATGACAGATGAATTTTGCTGTCATAAACGCTGGCAGTCGGGCTTAAAACAGGAACTTCTATCGAATCTTAGGCTTGCGTGCAACACAAACCGCTGAGAAGTGCCTTCAAAACATTTTCACCCTTGATCTATTTGTATTTCTCACTTATGTTCAAATAAAGGTTAGTTTGGAATTCTGTATTAAACCCGGAATATAGGCGAAATTGGACACCCCTTGTAATACAGACAGACATGACAGCAAATTGAAATTTGTTGAAAATGCATAATTGTACCAACTCAGTGTAAAATTGAGGCTAAGGTCTACCGTGCGTGAATTTCATGACAAGTTAGCAAGTACGAAATTTAATTTTGCACTTAATATAAATGACAAAGGGGAAACTGGTAATTACTTATAAGAGGCGGGCCAGCGCTGCATGTGAAATGTGCGAAACTTCGTCAATTAACGTAAATTTGATCAACTTTTTCAAAGGAGAACTTGCCTAAGTTTATGCCTGGCCATGTTTCAAGTAATAACATTAACAAAATACACAGAGGCCCTTTGAAAAGATCGATCGTGTAAAACACAATCATATTTTGAGTTAAGCAGGTTATTTTATTTAACGGCTTAACACCTACCCTGCTTCAAAAACGTAATGTCAAGGCGAGATTGGAGACCAAATTCAATTAACTGAGAGATATGTACTCCCAGTATTGTAAGATTAACAATAGCAAGTTTCAATAATTCCTTTCCACCTGGCTACAATTTGTAATCTGCACAAGATTCCATTTCGTTACGACTCTATTTGTTGCCTTTGTCAGTAATTGTTGGTTTTCCTCCAAAGTTCGCGCGTTCAAATGAATACACAACAGTGAGGAATATTAAAAAGTCAATTGAGTGCCAATAAATCTTCTTCGACTTTACGTTAATGACTTTTTAACAGCGTGGTATTCTTTAGAATTGTTTATTCACTTCACAGCGCTTTTTATTCGTAGTTTTAGTAATATTTAGTTGGAAGGGAACAAAGGAAACTCCAGGAACCGCCAAGAATGTATTGACAGTTGTACATCTGTGATTGGCGCTTGAGCAGCGATTTCACGCGCGATAAGATGATCTGTTTTGACATTTTCAGTCCCTGGTTCCGTATATCAATATTACTTTTCCATTACTCTTTGAAAAGATTTTCAAAGTTGGTTATTCTCTGCATTCTATTCACCAGGGGCTCCTCAATTTACAGTTCTGTATAGAAATTGTAAGTTGAAATCTGTTGATGCTCAAAAGGAGCAATGTTGTTCAGTTTAGGAAAATGAAGATGGAATACGAGCTGAGAACTTAAACGCCTTTCGCAAATTTTTCAGTGTGTTTCATTGGAAATATATAACTTCCATTTGGCTGATGGATCAAAATAGAAGTCTCTTTTCAGTCTCCTTTACAGCTGTTGTTTGTGGCGACTTATAACAACAGCTACTAAGCTAACCATGCACATCAGGTGGAAACCTATCAGAGGGGACTGGTGACCTAGACAAATAGACGAATCTCCCTCCGTGTTGGAATACGATCCCACCCCCTCCCCCCTCTCATTTAATTGAGCGCCTGTTGGTCCGCCACTGTTACGTTAGGCGATTCTAATTCTGTTACATCCACATATTTTGATCATTGACAGTCACAGAAGTATGCAAACGTTTTTTTCACTGACGCGACAGAAAAACGAAAAGAAAAATACGGTTGGACACCGCCCTAGGGCCAACTCGTTATTACGGCCACTGTTTTAGCTTGAGCTAAACTTCAGACAGTTTGTCATCTCAAACTCCTTTAAATCCAACCATCTCGGTTAATGTGGCCAGCATTCACGCGTGGAGTCGCTGAGTGAAATGAAATGTTTGATGTTGTGCAATTTTTATAACGAAGACAAACATAACAGTTACTAGTAGTTCTTGTTGTTTTATATTTACAATGTTATTTTCCTCGAAGATATTAGCTTTTTAACTACTTTGTAAATTCGAGATAAAATAAAGTCATATATGTATGCATGTGCGAAGTATTTTTTCTTGAGCTAAAAATATGGTTTAATTAGGCTAGAATTTTGTAAGTATTACGTGAAGTGTTTCCGATCTTTCTTGTGTCTGTGGACAGGCAGACTTGGAATTACTGAATGCTCTGTACCGCTGTCCAGTTTAACCTGTTTATAAGGAACATCAAGCCTACGCTTGTCAATAGGTAGTTTAATAATTCAGTGCGTGGACGGTTGGCGTCTGCGAAAAAGGTGACTCTTGATTTTCGGTTCGCACGTTAATTTACCCAGGTGAAAATAAGCGACATTAGCTTTGCCTATTAGAAGTTGAACACACCAAGGCGGGTTATGTGAGTTGTGTCTACCACCAATTTGGGAGACTATTAACTGTAAAAACGTTAAGTATGTAAGTGATATGTCTTGCGTGGTGCTGCGCTGGTTGTAGGCTTTGAAAAGGCCATGTTAATGGAAAGGAGATTAAAGTTTTCGTGTGACACTTAGCGCTTTTGTTATCTAATATTCTGTCTTTCAGTGCACTATCCCAACAATTTTGAATGCTAAAGAAAGTCTTTATTAAATCACCTAACGGAGTAAACAATGTATTCCCCGTGTTATAGATCCAGTGGCCGAAGATATAGATCAGTGTGTTTCAGAGTTCTTTGTTTAAAAATTGACTAATATATCGATATTTGCTATCTCTACCATTAAGACAGAGAAGCTTTTTTCTTAGATACAACATGAATTCATATATATAGTTCAAAAGTCATATTTTTATGAGCGTACGTATATGCCAATCGTTTGATTTTGCAATAAAATTTTACTCGAGTTTTTTTTTTTTTTTCGAGTGCTAGAATTTCATAGAAGCTTCCCTTGAAACACGACAGTTCTTTCAGTCGGACATTGGCCTCCTTTAATAGTAAAGATAGGTCAGGTTTCTAATGGGCTGCCGGCGACCTTTGAAATATTTATGTAAAAATCTCAAAGCTAAATTAAACTTACGATTCATCAACAGCTGAACTGGTAGCCTTTCGATAATGCCTTATAGAGGTGTAAATTACCATCCACCCTTTTCTCGACCGAATGAAAAAATAAATGGTTTTCTTTTACTTTCAGGTGGTACCGTCTTGTTGGGTGTAGAGTACTTTTAGAATCTGATAATGGAAATTTCCAGAAGTTTGGAGTTTATCTTTCTGTGTTTCGCTTGGACTGCGTTTCTTGGAGGTACGTTCATGTTTGAAGTGACTGTGTTGTAATTAGATACAGCGTACGACCTTGTTGCATTACGTTTAGAATGTACTGTTAATATTGAGTATGGTACCTCGTACGTTAACGGGTTAACGACTAGAAAAAGATATACATAGAAAACGGCAAAAATCCATAGCAAAGTCATTTTTAACTGCGATGCATAAAGCAGCGTCCACATTACGCCGGAGACATTTGAAAACGCAGCTTCATTTCTACGATTAGGCCTACCTTCCACACTAATCCGGACCGACTGAAAACGGAGCTTGAAAACGCACTACTAGCCGGAAGAATTTGAAAACGCCGGCTTTGCGTTTGTAGTGCGGACGGAAAACATTTTGAAACCGGAGCTTTCCGAAAACCATGACGTCTGTATAACCGTGTGTATCGGCGTAGCGTGGACGTAAAACATTTGATGCGTTTTCTAAGTGGAACCTCCGTTTTCAAATTCCTCCGGCGCAGTGGACGGGGCCTTAAAAAAGATATACATAGAAACAAGCAAAAATCCACTGCAAAGTCATTTTTAACTGTGATGCATCAGAATGATTGTAACTCGCCGTAAAACGTTTAATTTATAAAGCCCTTTAAGTGTTTTGTGGCGTGGGTTACTGCGTCACAAAACCGCTGTTTATCTTTTCTTTTTATTCACGGGAATATTCTACACGTTTTGTATCTTTCCTTGCCGTCTTTGGTATACAATAAACCGTTTAAACCTTCCATTAAAAGTAGCAAACAAACAGCATTTGACACCGATATTATCAATCAATGATCCGACCGATAGTATTGTAATTTACAAAACCTGCGAGGCCGTTGTGATAAGACTGTAGTTTTAACCTTTGCTTTTCTCAATTACTGCGGGTATATTTTATCAATTTTATTAAGGCAATAAAGCCTCGGGAATTTTTTAATAATTCATTGCATTTATCTTGAGTTACGATATAAAAAGTAGCATAGTTTTCTCTAAAAGGGGTTTCAGTCTAAACGCTGCAGGGTGATCATAATTTAATTTGGTCCTTCGCAGTCACGAAAAGGCTAGCATTGCTTATAGCCGCTCAAAAAAGTGTGTATAATAAAGGCATTTTTGTCGAAATGAAGAAAAAACCGCCGTTTTTATTCCAGATCACCAGTTCTCCTCAAATTTTCAGTGAGACATTGCTTCTCTGGAACCTCTCTCTTCTCTTAAGCCCGTTGTAAGCACTACCTGTAATGGTTTTTTAGGGCTAGGGGCGTTGTTGTCACCTGTTATCTATTGTTTAAAGAAACAATGAATTAACTCGTTTCGAGAGCTAGTGGGTGAGCCTAAATTTGCCCATTCTATCGCATAAAAGCCTGAAACTATTAATAGGGGGCTTAAGCTGTGTTGTGACATTCTCGCTAAATGTTGCTACGCCGGCAGCATATTTAGCTGACACCTGCAAAGGTGTCCTACTCGCAGGCTGTGTACTGACGGAGAGGTGCAAATGGCGTGTTAATGAACTCTTCTTCCCCCCCCCCCTAAAGTACCCGCATGACATAACACCCCAAAATATTATATCTCCAAAATACACCCCATATCAATTCTCAAGTAAACAGTAGCGATATAAAAACATGACACGTCGGCGACGGCATGTCACCAAATTTTTTTATTGCAAACTACTACAAGAAATGTAACGTTATTTATAGAAATGAAATTGTGAACTGACTACATTAGAATAGAATAAGGTGTGGAAAATAAGACAATCTGCTTAACTAAGTGATCAGTTTGGCTGGAATGGAGTCTGTTTAAGTGTTTAAAGTTGGTCCCGTCTTCCTAAGTAAAACCAAAACCAAGAGAATGCCTTTTGTTACACGACTCTCGTGGTCTTTATTTCTAGTATCTCCCAGGGTTATGAATCCCCTTCGCATTTTTTTCTAAAGGCGTTTTAAAAGAGTTTCTGTTTTTCTTCTCATTGGTTTAAAAGCTGTGTCCTCTATTTATTGACCGCATATTTATCCAAATGGACTGTCTTTTGTTTTGCCCATGAGCGACGCTGTTCATTGATTCGTTCCCTCGCCTTTTAGAGCGTTTCATATGTTTGAGCAGATGAAGAACTGTTCTTTGCATTGATTAAAATTCTCCTCAGCTGTTTGACCTCAGCTTTAAATTGAATAAACGATCCTTTAGTCTGTAACATCCAGCTTACTATTTGTACAGTAAATCATATAGGTTTGTTTCATGCTTCGGAAACCAGGAATAGTTCGGGAAGTGTTTGGCCCAGATATATGTCCCTAGTAAGACGAGCCTGGTCGAACAAATGTAATCAATTTCCTTCCCTTTTCCCGCGTTTGCTCCAGGCTAAAATACTCTTGGCGGAACCAAACAGAAAATAGCTTAATTTAGTAGCAGCTAAAATTATATTTAGAAAACCCGTGCCGTTTTGGCAGGGGTGTTGCGAAATTTTTCCGGGGCTTTGTCAGGTGTTCCTCATAGATGTGAATGTCGTTTTCTATTCGCTGTCTAAATTGTTTCAGGTCGGTTAGACTTCCTGTCTTACTTCAGCTGCAGCCTTAATACTATATGTCGTGAATTTGGTGAAAGAAATTTTTATTTTGTCAGTTGTGAATTGTTTTTAGGAGGATTTCATGTCTGAGCAAACTGCGAATGCGAGATTTGACGCACGCGACATCAATCGTGTTTGTTGGCGAGAACATTGGCACCCTTTTTTCGTTAACTTTGTTTGGGAAAATCCAATTACAATGTGCAAAGGTTGTCCATGAGTTTATATAAGAACCCTTTCTCTATTAATATGATCATCAGTCCAGTATATTTTTAACTCAAGGAAAAGTTCTAAACTAACATTATATCGTAGGTTGCAAAGTCATTGACTCACTGAATATATAGGTTAACGTCGCTAACGTGACGGTAAATAGAGCTTATAGCATGCTTTGGATACCGAATACGAGCACAGTAAAATAAGATTCTGTAGATCTTTTATTAAATTGGGTTTAAAAGGGTTACAAAGGGAGCTGTTCAGTTCCCTTTGACAATTAGTTCAAAGGAGAACCGATCGCAATGTTTCATTAAATATTTCATTTTAAAAAAGACTCGGTGATATTTTTACTATTTGGGAGTCAATGGTTATTTTTGATTTGTTTCTTTGCAGGCTGCCATGCCAGTAAATATGAACGGGCGTTGTTGAAGAAGCTCTTCCACTCCGACTACGACAAGAACGAACGACCTGTTGTGAACGATTCAGACGCGGTCGTTGTTGTTTTTGGTTTAACGCTCAATCAGATCGTGGATGTGGTAAGATATTCCGAACAGCTTTACATTCAGGTTTTCTTCTTCGTTCCGGCGTAAAAATGACAAAGTCGCTATTGTTATGTGGTTGAGATTTTCCATTTTCGACCTTTTCTCGCAGCTGTACTTTTGTACACGCCAATCCATGTCTGAGAAGGGCTGTGGCCTTGCTAATGGTTAATGTGTTAGACTCTGGATCGAGTGGTCCGGGTTCACGTTGCCTGGCCAGGCTCGTTCTGTTCTGTTCTCAGATAATTTTAAAAAGGAGGTACCTTATGGCCAGCGCATCTTAAAAAATGGCCATTGTTTTCAAGTGTATTGTTGGCAATCCATCTTAATCTTGTGCATTCGGAGCCGATTGTTAATTCTGGTTATTACTTCTCGGATGATTCTGACTATTGTTTTCAGGTTTTTCTCTTCTGTTTGAAAGTAATCTTGTACATCAAGTGTCGGGAACTAGCTCATTTAACTGTCACAGTCCCTCGCTCTTTGGAGATTATCCCTCACGCCTTGGACATTGTCTGTTCCCCAAAGCTCACAGCTTTCCTCGAGCTAAGCTTTCGGAAAACTGTTCGGTTCTCGGAACAGATAATGTCTGCGGACAAATATCCGAGCATATTTTCGCGCCAAATGGAGGCTATTGTTTATATAACCCTATTTCCAAAGCTTTAGTCCTGTGTATGTTTTACCACACCATATGTATAGCACGAATTAAAATGCTATAACGGACTGAAGGTATTCCTTTGCTCTTTAGGATGAAAAGAATCAAATTCTAACGACTAGCGCCTGGGTAAGGCAGGTAAGACCTATTAACATGTGCTTCTATATCAGTTATCTGTAAAATAAAAAGATTACAATAGGACGGTGATGTGAAAGAGTACAGGGCTGGTTAATAGAAGGTCATCTTTGCACGCCAAACCTCATCACCTCCTTTCTATCTTTCATTGTATTTCTTAACTTTGATCACAGTTGAACACGAATTTTCCTTCGGTGCAAACACAAACTCAGTCTGAGTGTTGTCACAGCCCGTATCATCTTTTGGAGTACTTCCGAACTCTAGTCTACGTTACCTGTTCAGTTGGAGAATAAGACACATAATCTTCAGTGAAGGATTTGAGACATGTTCTTACGACTGTGTCATAGTCTTGTGATCCTCGGACGTACAGTAAACACATATCGTAGAAAGAAAGGAGACGGTGAGAAGTATAGAATTTAGTTAGCAACCAGGAAGATAGATGAAGGCGACACTGAAGTAATACGCACAGATTAGGGAATGAAAGCGATTAAGGAAGCAAGAAAGAACACAGAGACACACAAAAGTGCACATAAGATATAAGGAGTTGGTGAAGAGAATATACATTCAACGAAGTTAGCAATCATAGCACAGTATCATCTTGGGTAAGTATCGATATTTTGTTGTTTAGTCAGTTGCGTCGAGTTAGATTCACGTAACAAGGCTGCTTTAATTTGAGGTTTAATCGTGCTGGATATCTGTCCTCAGATTTGGAATAATCCACTATTAGCATGGAATAGCAGCGAATATGGTGGATTAACAACAATTAATGTTGCTCCAAAGAATGTTTGGCTTCCGGATATTGTTCTGTATGAGAAGTAAGTAATGGAGTTTTGTGTATCCAGTACTTATTTACCCATCTATTTTTTTTGTCGATAATGCATTTGTGAAGTAAAGTCATTTCTGACACCTAAGATTCAATTTTAGATGCGGCGATAGAGAACTTCAATATGCTAGGTCCCTGAAGGCTCGCCCAGAAAAAAGTTCTGTTTTTGTCCTCGCAACGTATTGCGGAAAATTCAAGTAAATTGAATTCGTGCGTCATGAAGTAGGGACAAGATGATCTCAGTTTTCAATGTCGCGTCGCGTACCCTTCTCTTGCAAACTGCCCCCCCCCCCTTCCTTCCCTCCTATAACATAGAAATGAGCCAATATATATTGTCTTCGTGTGCACCAGCTTGCTTTCTATCCCCGTAATATGTGTCCTATGCGTACACACGAAGGGGATTGTCCCCTTGTGTGCCGACCGTAAGTCAATTTATTAAGATCTATTCTTGTCTCTTCTCATGTTTGAAGAAGCCAATTAAAACACTCGGTGTTAACATTAACCATGTTCGTTTGCAGCGCTGACGACGACATAAGCTTTGGCGGCAACTTGGACCGCCTGAACTTCAGGGTTGTTCTTCATCATTCGGGAAAAAATGTATGGCTCTCGCCGGTCACCTTCAAGAGCAAATGCCGCATCGACATTAAGTACTTCCCATTTGACACACAGAATTGTAAAATGAAATTCGGATCGTGGACTTACGATGGCTTCCGGCTGGACGTCACAAATGAGAGCATGTCCGCTGACCTGGGAAATTACATCGAGAGCGCCGAATGGAAACTTGTCGGCGCTCCGGCCCGGCGGAATGTTTTGAAGTATTTCTGTTGCGAGGAGCCGTTCCCGGATGTGACGTATACGATCATCATCCGAAGGCGTTCGCTGTTCTATATGATGAACCTGATATTACCGCTGGTCATCATCACTGTGTTGATAAATGTATCCTTTGTACTTCCAGCAGAGTCAGGTGAGTTAATCTCGTTTTCTTAAAGGTTCTGCCACTGTATGGTGGTCTCCTTTGCGACCGTTAAACCGGGTGGTTGGGAGTGGAGGGGAGGGGAGGGTGGGGCAGTCTTCCTAGCCTTCACACAGTCTTTGCTTCAACACGGTGAAAGCATTAGTTTAACTAAAAGAAAGGTTTGAAAATTGCTTTAAGACTGTTTTACATGGTTTCCGTAGGAGACTCCGTGATCTATATAGTATATACCAAATCAGTGGAGAGTGCTTTTCACGCATTCTTATTGGCTACTCAAGCTCGGGGTAGTTTTGTGCCGTCCACCTCCCAGCTTGCGAGAGTTGTAAGCAAGATGGTGTCTTGGTTTCCTACCGTAACAGGAGAAGAAATTTTAGCAGTATACGAAGCAGCTGCCCCTGCTAACTAAAAATGAACAAAAAGTAAAGTAAAGAAAAGAAAATAGGTCAATATTTAAATAAAAATTGTTACCTTACCCTTCACAGGTGAACGTATTTCCCTCACAATAACCATCCTTCTGGCCATGACGGTTTTTATGTTGGTGGTAGCGGAAACAATTCCTCCATCTTCAGATGTGGTCCCACTCATCGCCAAGTTCTACATGGCTGGAATGGTTGAAATGGCCGTAGGCCTGGTCTGGACGTGCTACATCCTGAAGTATTACCACTCTGATGTCATCGAGATGCCAAAGTGGGTCCGAAAATACGTGCTCGGCTACCTCGGCCACTTCTTTGGAATTAGCATGGAAAACCTCAAACGCATTCAAGAACATTCTAATCTGCGTAAGGATACGGGTCGAAAGGCCACCATTCAAACGGCTTTGGAACCGGTTGGTAGAACACACCAAACAAGGACTAAACTTCACGTGTCGAACAGCCACAACAACAACCCCTATGACAGTCATTATAGACACCTTAGTTCAACGGCAAACGGTTTTCTGTCCGTATCACCAGCGCTGAACGCGTCGGAAATCTCTTTGAACCAACAGGACGGTTTCCAGGATCCTGTTCTACAGCTTGGCGAGAGGATCCTGGAGCGAGTTGACACACTTGTGGAGAACTCGATCGTCGACGACAGGATCAACAATCACAAAGAGGAGTGGCGGATAGCAGCCATGGTCATGGATAAGCTGTCACTCTGGGTGTTTGGCATTGCTGTGCTTGTCACTGTATTCGGATGTTTCTTGCAGGCGCCTGGTTATGTTGCGTGATCGGTGCACGTTGCAAGGTTCAGATTTGAGAAGAAGCTCTTCTTAATTTCGGGCGTCTTGGCCTGCTCGGTCAAGTGCCGAGCTTCATGGAAGCTCCGCATTGGCTTATATGAAGCTGTAATTGTGTTGACTATTTGGAATAACTTGGATGAGTATGCAAATGAGCGGGACATTTTGTGAATGGTGTCAAGAGGCCCTGCATCTTTGAAGCTTTTTGTTGTTATACGTGGGACACACCGGTCGTGTGCTTGACTTGTTGCAGAACTATAAAAATGATGGCACGATTTGTTATGCCATTGGCATGATTGTACATCCCAGCATTTAGATATTCATATTTACCACGTTTAAGTATTACTTCAATGAAACTGAGTTGTTTCAGACATTTTCGATACCCAATTCGTTGACACTAAAGGAACATCAACGAAACAACAACAACGGCAGCAGCAATAAAAACATATTTGATTGATCACGTGTGAAATAGAACTCGATATTTTGTCATTGAGTTAAGGGGGCTCAGCTCTCCGACGTTTGTTGTTATACGTGAATAAGCATGTATAAATGAGATGACGACTCTCTATATCGAAATCATGAGCTGTACATGTACATCCTTGCATGGTAACAAAAAATCGCTGTTTATAAAAATCCAAAGAATCAAACGTTCCTTGTTACAAAAATATAAATAAGTCCACAAACAGTGGAGATACGGCATTAACCTACAAATATTCAAATTATGTAAAATTGGTGAAGGGCATACCGTTAAAAAGCCATCTATTCATGAGACAACGTTTGAAACGTACCGTTCGTATTGCGGGAAGAGTATAACTGTGGCCTGTGTTCCGCAGTAGTGTAGATCGTGTTAGTGGCAAAAGGGGGAATTCACAGTTCATGTTTACTTTACCACTTGTCTTATTGAAAAGATAGTCTCGTAACTGTTCTATCATTTCTGAATTTTAAGTTATATATTTTTTCCCAGCCCAAGTTGTTAGCTACACCATGCTGTCATGACATGTTTTGGGAAGCTCAGGAATCTTTTAACGTGCACTTGGTCCCAAACAAACATTATTTCGAAATGCAATAGAGTTCAAACCCAAGGAACGTTTGATTCTTTGGATTTTTATAAACAGCGATTTTTTGTTATATTATAAATAGGTAATTACTGACAGAAAAGGTAGCCCTTCGTGTATGAAAGCCTCCATATACGTTCCACTGGAAATGGTATCCCTTTTACCTGCCTAAAGGAGACCCACTTTATCCCTTTTCTACAATCTTGGATTGATTAGCATGGTTGAATGACTCAGTCTTTTGGTGTGTTTGTTGGAAATAGTGTGAAAGGACCAAATGACAGATTTCCTTATCCTTTATGAAATTCCTGCAATTTGGTATACCCCCAACCTGAAAAAGATTTCCCTTTCGGGCGGAGCCTCCTCGTGTAAGGAGTACTTCAAGGGATGCTCGTCATTCGAAAGTAGAATTCGGATCCCTAGGGACCCTACCTACGATCGCTACGAAACAGTATCACCAAAGGGATGGAATTTGCTTTATAGTGTTCTCGTTCGTGCAAATGCTCTTGAGTTATCCGTTCATCGCTCCATAAATTGTTTAATGCTATTTAACATGTTTTACATTTTTGGAATACTTTGGTCAACGGTGTCTCATGACTTTTGAGTTGAACGCAATTTTTTTGTTCGGATACTGTTACTTGTCAGAAAGTGGGCAATAATTATATGTGGTACAAGGAAGAGGTGGCAATTGAACAACTTGAAAACAACTTGAATAAGTTGTGTGGCATTTCCGTTGGTTTGTCAAAAGCCGGCGACAAAATATAGGAACGCAGATATCAAAGGTATTTTTGAAATTCACAGTTATCGTAACGCGGATTTGGTCCCGACAAAACCTCGATTTCTTTCCAATTGTTCTTTCTTTTGTAATGTGTAATAGAAATGATACGAATTTCTTTCAAATTCATGCTTTATAACTTTTAAAAATAACAGCCATTCTTTGCTTTCGGAAGTACGTGACTGCGGTCGTTTTTGCTTTGTTCTGGGACATTCACAGCATCCGATTTGATCTATAAATATTAAGGACTTAACAACCGTTTAATTGGCAAGACAAGGATGTTGATCCCATGTTCAATGGCCCTGTTTTTTTCTGTCTGTGTCGGAAACCACAGAGGAGAGAACAGAAACGCCTCACTGTTAATTTTCTTCTGGCTGACGGCAACACATTGCTTCCTGTGTTGTTAATACCTAACTAGTTTTACGAATGTTCTCCATTGATATCATTTATGTCTGGGTAATCCGTTATCAGTACAGACGTAATTACAGCCGTAAAACCAAAACAGTATGAAGTGCTTAGTTTTCATGGCACCTGGAACTCTCTCGTGTAACTTGAATGCCGCTGTCTTCATACTGTGACCTTAGAAGAACGCGTAGTAATAGTTTGCGGTTTTTCTCGCTGGATAACGCCAAGAAAATATTGTCTAGCCGCAAAAGCACACTTTGAGGGGTGAGGCCTTTCGCTGGCATTATTTCACGATGATTTTGATCTACATGTATTGAGCTACAAACCGCCAGACGCATGGAAGCTACAAAATGTGCGCACCACGTTTTTCGGCAGCGCCCATCACGCTCATTGTAAATGTTCTTTATCAACCTTATACAGTGAGCGAAAACAAGAAGCATTTGAACTGTAGTTAGTTAACTGAACTGACTCTCCATTTGCTCAGTGGTTGGGAGCCGGAAGCGTGAAACTTTCATGACCGGTAGAATTGTGTGCGACCTAGACCAAACATACAATCGTTTCTATACTCAGTTAACTAACATATTTTTGGATGAAGCAGTTGTTTAATTCTCTTTTGTGCGGCGTCGCAAACCAATAGCAAACCAATAGTCCACAAAGTCGCTCTGATAATCTTTCGTCGTTCCTTTATTCACAATGCCTTCCGGCAAGATAGGACACTTGTCGCGGTAGTTTCCTTGATTTTGTACCAATCTTCTCCGAGATGCTAAACGTATTTACTTCGTTTAACTGTCGGAAAACCAAACTGTTGTGATGAAAGTCGCGATGAAAAGTGTGTTTCCTCGCGCTTTGTATCGGTTACGAAGACACCCAGACCTTAGTGTTTTGGGAGCGGGGCTGCCGCAGAGGAGAGAGCGCTCGCCACCCACCAATTTGGTCCGCGATCGATTCCGGCCCGGTGCCTTTTGTGATTTGAGTTTGTTGTTTCGCGCTTTGCCTCGCGGGAACCGCTTTGCCCCGAGGTTATTTTTTTTTCTTCTGCCACCATCTGTTCTGCTGTGTTTCTGCTTTCTTTATAGATTTATGTTTCTACCAAGTGGAATTAGCTACAGTTCATCCACCTTTTACGTTTTAGACACCACTCCCTTTCGTCTTTTTTTTCGGGTAAATAAGAAGTTTGATTCGTTGCCAAAGGTGGAATAATTCAGATACAACAACGACAACAATTTACAACGGCATTCCCATGCAATATATTGATATTGTCGGTAAAGAAATGACCATGGGAAATTTATTTGCAGTCCTTGGCACAATACTAGTTTATTTTTTAGGTTGTGATTGTTTGCTGACTAGCTAGAGTAAGGGTAACTAAAACAGAAACTACAATTAAGTGGAGTAGAGGCCAGCGCAGGCTTTAAAATCTGAAGAATATTCGGTGGGAAATGTCGTGTGATGTAAAGACAGTAACCTGCAGAATTCACTGAGTTTCAAAATACGAAACAATTAAAGACTCTCGAACTAAAAGAGCCGCATTACTGATATCATGATCTAAAAGTGTCAATTTTTGCTTGAGTGGAGTTGCAGCAACGCAAGTTGGAAATATGAAAACACAATAGACAATACTCCGCAGAAAAAGAGCGTTTATGGTTTTTTCTTCTGCGAATTGGAACTGGGGGTTCCCTAACTGGCTTGCCTAACTCTCGTTATCAATGAGGCACCTTTCCCTTCCCAACTCTCCGGGTTGCAGTGCTTCTGCATCACAATCGTGTTTGTCTGACACTTGGATCTCTATTATCCGGCTTTGATTCTTTGGTGGGAAGGAGGACGGGTGTGTCTATCGATAGCAGCCGTTTAGAGCCCCAGCTGGACGGAAACGCTCACGGGTACTCGACTCACCGCTTTGTGGGTGTGGGTTCATTTTCAGTTTTTGTACCTATTTTGTATTTCTTTTCCTTTCTTTCTGAAGGCACTTCGGGAGAAGACGGATACGGACTGCCCATAGTCAATGATATGAAAGATGTTATGTTTTTTTCCCGTTATTTGGGCGAGTCTCAGGTTGAATTAAATTACGCTTAGAGTCCTTAGACTTTGACCGTAATCGGAAATCTGCCGAGTACAACTCATAACGATCAGAGAGAAAGCGTAAGTTTCTAAGTTATGATAAGTTGTCCCCTTGAGCGGAGAGGTGGTATCACAAAAATGGCCGTTTCTCGCGTTGGAAAAGATAAACAAAATGAGTCATCCTTTGTCGCTTGGACTACTCAAAATGACCTTTTTTACATTATGGAACTATTGTTGTCTTTGTGTCCAAATTGCATGAGTACAAAACTGCTTCAGTTGTCTTTGAGTTCAGCAATAATTTTGAAGCTGGGTTCAAAATTTACCATCTGTCACGGTCAGCGCTCCTGCCATATGTTCGCTGGATTAAGAGAGCCACTCGGTTCAAAACCTTTTTTTTCCCCTCAAAAATTATTCTTCGAGAACTCCAATTTAGAGTTGTCTTGTCAGTGGCTTCAACATCATTTTGCCGTAAGGTTGTTCAGATATCTGTCGCTGCACTGGGTGAAAAAGAATAATTCTACCCTGGTTTTTCATTTATTTTTGTTCTTACCTTTTTAATACCGTGGAAAACTTTTATTTTCAGATTTCCTTCACTTTGAAACAATTGATGACCTAAAATATCTTGTGTAGCTCCAATAAACTGGGGCCCGTTTCGCGAAAGCCCCGGAAACTTTTCGGGTCGCCGCCCGTAAAGCCATAGCAAAATCTCAAACCTTACGATTACAGAACTGTTTTATTTACAAATTCTTAGTATGAAGAGAAGTTCCCTTCATACAAGAAGTTTCAGGCGTATACACTTTTCCGTTTTTGGATACAGATGGACTAAAAATGGCCGGGCTTTACGGGCCCGAAAAGTTTCCGGAGCTTTTGAGAAACTGGTCCCTGGGGCCCGTTTCTCGAAGGTCCCGAAAAGTTTTCGCACCCGGAAAGCCCGTAGCAAAATCTCGAACCTTATGATTACAGAGCTGTTTTATTTACATATTCTTAATATGATGGAGGTTCCCTTCATACAAGAAGTTTCAGGTGTATACACTTCTCCATTTTTAAGATACAGATGAGCCAAAAATGGCTTTACGGGCTCGAACAGTTTCCGGGGCTTTCGAGAAACGGGCCCCAGGGCTCTAGACGACTGTCATGGCGTTATTAATTATCTAACGGTCCTCTCACCATCCAAAAAATCAAAGAGATTGAGGTGTCATGACGACACAGACACCGCAATCTTTTCCAAGGCAGAGAGGAGAATTTCGACGGAGGAGCAAGGTACATGTAGTCCGGTCCCCA